CTGTACTATCAATATAATGAATATATACATAAATAAATATTCATCAATGAGCAAAGAATCTGGCCAGGGACTGACTGGCTTACTGGCTGGTGAATTTGTGTAGGTCAGGGACAGAATCTCTGTTTCTGAATTTCTATTTCTCTATTGCTGGGTTTTTTCTTTTCCCTGCCTCCTTCTCTACCTTACCTTTTGTCTTTCTAATGTTTACTTATTTACATTCTCACTGATAGCCTGCCATACCTATAGCTTCTCTCATTCCTTGCAGTCTCAGACCAGTAGAGATTCCTTATGCCTGAAGAAGGGTGACTGCACCTGAAACCTTGCTAAAAACCTTTTTCCAACAACTCAGTTGGTCTAATGAAATATACCACATCTTTTCAAAGAACCTTTCCTGCCTATCCCTCTATTATCTCTTTTGTAATAAACTAACCTGATGGGATAGTTTCTCAATCACCAGGGTGTCTCATATTTTAGCATACCATTACTTTCAGTGAGAAAGAGGGGGCTGTGATTCCTTCCACATTTCAGCAAATCATAATCTAGCATCTCAAAACAAGAACGATACCAGCTTTTCATTGTGCACAGAGTAAGCTTCATTTCCTGCCCAGCCTCTTTTGGAGACCTCCCAATGAAATAGTTTCTACTAATTCTATAGACAATTCCTTCCACTGAATTATTACACTTCCAGTTAGGAATTTTCTTTCCTGAGATTTAATCTAAATCCTGCTGTATTTTAAACCCATTGCCTCTTGTCTTACCCTGTGTAGCTTTTGATAACTGTTTTCTTCATCTTCTTTATAGCACTCTTTCAAATATTTGAAAACTGGCATAATGCCTCCCTTTAATCTTTTCTCTTAGCTAAACATACCTAATACCTTCAACTTTTTTTTTCACATTGCTTGCATATCAAGCCCTTTAGCATCTTTGTTGTTCACCTCTGGATCTTCTCTATTTTGTCTAAATTCTTCTTAGGACAAATTCTCCAGGAGAGGCCTAACCAACACCAAGTGGAACTATTACCTTGTGTGCCTTGCCTGCAATGCTTCTATTGATGAAATCCAAAATATTATTGTGAGGTTTTATTCCTGACTCATGCTGAGTTTGTAATCTACCATAACCCCTATGTCCTTTGTACGTATTACTGCCAAGCCAGTAATTCCCTGTTCTGTCTTTTGCATCTGCCTTTTCTTTGTGTAGTACCTGCATTTATCCTTGCTGAATTTCATTTTGTTGTCTATAACAGTTCTCCAGTTAATCAAGTTCCTTTTGAATGTTAAGGGCTTGGCGAGCAGGGGCAGGACTAGGAGCTACGCATGTTCCGAGGCAGAGGCAGCAACCCATAATGTTCCTTGTGTTTTTTTGTGATTAAAAACTCTTTAAGCCCTCTAAATGTGAGTCCCTTTCAATCTGTGGGGTAAAAGGTGGTTGAAGCATCCCAAGCAACCTCAGGACCTGATGCTGCACATGTGGCTGGGAGGCATGCTGGATGTGGGGTGAAGGGACCGGGGCAACGCATAGGGGGTGCATGCCCTGAGTGTGGCAATGCACTCCCTGCATTGTTGGCAGCGCTTGTGGGCAGTTGCCGCTTGCTACCCTGCCACCAACGGCATCTGTGGGTGGTCAGCAATCCTCACTGGCCACTGCCGCCAGTGGTGCCTGCAGGTGGTCACCAAATCTCAGTCGGTGCTTTCCACCTCCCCTCCCCCCCGCTGCTGAATGTGCCAGTGATGTCTGCGGGAGGTCACCGCTGCCATGCTCCCATTGCCACCGCTGTGCTCCTGCCACCACCAGCAGAGCCGTGCCCCCCCAGCTGCCGGGGGCACGCACTGTTAATGGGTGAGACAAGAGAAACTGTGGCCACTGGGTGCTCCAGGGCTATGGCACTGGCTCAGCCCAGCAGGTGCAGTGAGTGCTAGTCTGGGCAGTGGTGGGAAGCATTGTGGCCCCTGGGAGCTCCAGGGCCCGCAGTACTTGCTCTGCCCAATGTATCCAGGGGACTGCTGCCTGGACCAGCTCACTGCTCCAGCTGGACAGACTCTTCCATAGAGAGCACTGACTTGCTGCTCCTGCCAGGCAGAGCCCATGCTATAGCCCTGGAGCATCCCGGCATACTGGAAGACTTCAACTTGGACAGAATAACTGTGGGGAGTGGTCACACCTTAATTGAACAAGAGCACAGTTATGTGGATTAGAGAGAATCCTGCCCTGAAGTGGCATAACTTTGAGCACTTTAAGGCACACAACAAAGGGTTTAAGTCACATAAAGGAGCTAATATGCAGCCAATCCAGGGGTTAAGAACTCCAGAAGCCACCTAAAATTACCCTAATTATCCCATCTATAGTGTTTGCAATCCTTCCAAGTTTTATGTTTCTACAAGTTGGATCAGTAGACTAATTCTCTATTCAGACCGTCCCATAGAAAACATTGTGCAGAAGGCATACAACTTTCTCTGGATGACTCGGGCATGGCTTCAGGGTTAGATCCAGGTGGGGTGCACTTGCACCCTGCTTTGATTCCTTCTTTACCCAAAGTTTAAAACCACCTGCCTGGTTGTGGCAGTATTTCTAGTTGGGCAGTGCTGATGGTGTCAATTGCTTTCATGGCTCATTGTAATCTGCCTGGTCCTTCTAAACTCTTCCTTCCATAGGTGTTAAATGACCCACTCTTCTTTTAAATGGTCTTGAGGTTCCACCAATCAATCTATCCTTTGTTCTGCAATTCTACTGTTGGTTAGGTGCTCCTGTTGCACAGCCCTTGTTTTGAACTTATATCAATGAAGTTATGTTTGTTTTTGCTTGAATCTTAAACTGAATAATTCAGCCTTAGGCCCCTAGCATATTAGTAAAGGATCTAGTTTATTTTTAACTGCAGAAAATGTGTTGTTTCACATTGGCACCCCTCTTTAAAATTCTAAATTCACATGTGCTTAGCTTCCACTTTTTACTGAAAGACTCCACTTTCAAATTTCAGTCCAATTTCCCTAATTTCCCATAACTATATTTTTCAACTGAAGCCTAAATTAATTTTCTTGGGGAGAATTCTCCATTATATGAGACTTCTTCATAGCATACTTAGTAAGACCATTAGGTTGGGTAGAAGCAGATACATTATTGTGGCCAATAAGATGACCTCCCCAATAATTAGATTCAATGCATGGAAACATATAAATGTGTTATAATATTCCATGTATGGAACCTAATTAGTGGAAGGTTCTCTTAAATTTGTTTCCCTTCAGGGCTGTGGCGGGGAAAGCAGTGGTGGAGAGCAAGGGGCAAGACCCCTCCCATTGTTCCCTTGCCCCTTTCTCTCATTCCACATATAGGCTCAATCCACATACCATTTGGCAGCAGCTTTGAGAAGGTTAACTTCATACCTGTTCTAGTAGTCTCCCACAGGGGATGAGGGGGTGGTGTTGAGGCTGAGGAAAGGCCTCTGCCTCCTCCCTGCAGTGAGGGCCTCAAATCCCTGGGCTGTGGTGTAGCAGGTAAGACTCTGTTTCCTACCACTTTTCTCTTGCATTCAGCACACTTCCCTCCCCCAGCTCTGCCCAGGGCAGAGGAATGGGGAGTAGGCACAGACACAGACACAGAGGGATAGGCAGCAGGAGGGCACATGGCAGGGGCCAGGCAGCAGGGCTGGGTGAGGAGGGTGGAAATAGATAGCTACTTTTCAGTGCTACAGACCTGAATGAGATGTCTAAACTTCAGAGAGATGGGATTTCAAAGACATCCATGTTCTTGGTGATTTCTAGCTTAGGTAGCTCCCTGTTCAGGACTGTGGCTGAACACATATAGTACCGACCTGTTAGGTACATTATATCATTTATTATATCTGTCCTTCAGGTATTTTTAATGCAGTGATTCTCAACCAAGATGTGACAGCAATGCAGCAATTGTTCTCTGCAACAGAATAATTGCTTTATTTTTCTACACTGAAAAAAAGAGTGAAACCTAAGGGCACGGGTGTCTGGTGCCTCTTGACTCAGGGGAGGCACATGCCCCCCCCGAGACCAGTCAGCAACCGATCCCACTGACTGGGGAGGTCCCCTGGCGACCGGTCCCATTGACCAGGCGGTGGGGGTGGAGGAGTCTCCTGGTGGCCGATCTCACTGTAAAAGTGGCCATGCCCCTTCTGGAACTCCTGTGACCACTTTTGCTGGCAGCCCTGCTCCCTGGCCGGCACTTGCAGGGGGGCACTGGTGCTCCTGCTTGCCCCCCTGCCTGCTGGCTAAACAGGGAGCATGGCCTGACAGGGGGTGCACTGGCACTCTCAGGGGGTGCACGTGCATCCCATTGTACCCCCTACGCGTCACCTCAGCACCCCATGTGCTGTGAGACGTGGTGCCTGGTGCTTTTAATCACATGTATCAGCGTCACCATGCATCCCTGTGCTGAAAAAATGGCAGTAGGGCACGTTGAACTAAAGCTCATTGAACACTTTTAATTTCAAAGCACACTGTCGCCATTTTTTTTCAGCACAGAGACGCATGGTGATGCTGATGCACATGACAGGGAAGGCTGCTGTAGCATGCCAGTTTTTACACTCCAGCAGATTGCTTTGACATGCTGGATTTCCAGGCTCCGTGCATGTGTATAGGAGCCCTAAGACCTGGCATTTTTCAAGGGTGCCTTGAGTCTGTAAAGGTTGAGGATGTCCACTGTTCTAATGGACAGACAGCATCTGAATAGGACTTCGTGCATGCTAGGGCCCCAAGAGTGCCTGAGCTTTAGACTTAGGCACCTAAAGTGAGAGTTAGGTGCCTAAGCTCCCTCATGTATCTACCCTTATTTATTTTGAATATGGCCCCATAGAACCTATAACTGCTCAGTAGCTTAGTTTTTGTCAGGAGTGAAATTTACTGTTATTCAGATAGCCAATTCATAGCTGATATTTCATGTAATGTCCTTATGTTCCATTGGAGCTTTGTTGATTTACATCAATTGATGTAAAATTCAATCCCCATTTTGAACTTTCTTTAAAGATAAAACTGCATGCATACTAGTGTGTTTACTTAGTTTATTCATACAAACAATGCATACACAAGACTGTATATTGTTTGAAGACTGCAATAGGTTTCTAATTTAACAACTCTGTAACAAAATTTTAACTAAATTCAACATTTATGAAAATATAACTCTCTGATTGGGTAATTTTCCCAACAATACAAAGTTTACATAAAAACATTCAATATGATCTATTAGTTGCAAACAAGTTAGGAAAAGTCATTCAAGTCACTTATTATACTATATTGGCTTTTACATAGCACATTCACACACTACATTAAACCCCTAGGTTAGCATTCATTTCTTGGAAATTTTGTGGCATGGAGTTCTAACTTCCACAAAAGAAAATGTTGTTTTACTGAAATCCTCTGAAAAGTTTTTCAAGGACATGCCATGTTTAAGGTAAGTATAGGGGAGAAAGACTTCACACCATTTAGATGTTAACAGCCATTTATTTTACTGAGGTGAGAGTGTTTCTCTTAAAAATAGTTGACAATATTTAACAATTTCTGTCCTGAAATTGATAAAACTGTACAAAAGGCTCAGAATAGGTGTAAAGTGGGAAGTGAAACATAAAGAAGCATATTAAGGGTATGTAGAAGTAAGAAATCCATTAAAAATTGGAACAGTAAAGAACCTTTGGAAAACCTTTAGGTTATATGGAATATTTCAGCATGTATGCAGGCATATTCTGTTAGTCCCAGAGTATTTGGTCATTTGATCTGTGTTTTAACACAGGAAAAAATAAGAATGATAGTAAGGCAAATGTTATCAAGATTAATGTATGGCATGTCTGAATGCTTTCTTTTAAGATTACCACAGGGATTTATGAGATATTTCAAAATTTCACATAACTGACGGAATAGTAACCTTTTAACATAAAGAGAAGTGAACAGGTATCTGACTGTTTATCTATAATGCCCTTTCTCTTTGAAAATATATTCTTTTTATTCAGTACTAATAAGCACAGTGAAAGAGACATAAAAAACAACAGTTTCAGTGTTCAACTTCTATTATGACTTAGGTAATACTGTAAGCAGTTTTTATATTTTTTATCAGAATTCAGAAACCAGAAATCCCTGCATGTAATTTTTTGTTCGTTTAGATAAAGACCGATTTATCTGATAAATATCACATGCTGACTTGTTTGCTCATTAGCTCCCACTCCTTTCAAACCAAAGGTTAATCCCAATTAAAAAAATTAGTAGCTATTTATTTTTAAATGATGATGGAATGTATCAAGTGTTCCAGGTTGGCAGATGACATTTTGTCATTGCACCATCAAGCAGAAAAACATTTTTGCAAGTAGGTTTATAAACCAAGGTCAGTAGTAGATTTTGCTTTGTCCACACCCAGGTTACCTGGACTATAAAAAAGTTTTGCCTCCTCTTCCCATTAAGGGGAGTCTTATGTCTAGTTAAAGTACTGTCAACCCCAAAATAAGATATTCTAACACCTGTAGTAGTTTAACAGTTGTAATAGTATTGCTAGAAATTTTTAGTCAAGGCCCTGGATGAAATTTTGGACTAACTCTTATATTCCAAAATTTTAAAAACCCTGCAGCCCATTGATTAAACATTTGCTTTGCATTTATTGTTTACACAAATGTTAGAACTGTTGCTAAAAATGGCCCTCTGCTGTTTTAGTTTTTCAAGAAATGCACTGTTGTTTATTTCTGAAACAGAAGACAAGTCTATACACATATATTATGTATTAAGATAAACTAGCTCAAGCATATGATCAGTTGTCAGAAGCAAAATTGTGTGTTCTGCAATCTATGGCTGAGCACACTCTGTCATAGCAATAATTGTGTTTTTTGGTTGGTGTTGCTTCACTTGCTTCAGGGTCTGTCACCGTGATGGGGCTATCTCTTGTAAAGACCTCAGTGGACTCTCTCCAAATACAGTCTGCAGTTGCTTTGAAGCTATAATTGTGACATTTAGGCCTAATCACTTGTGTTGCGTTGTTGAAAATTTGACGGCTATTTGAAGTAGCAATTTTAATTTTCAGTGTGGCATCTACTCGATCCACTACAGTGTAAGTACCTATGCTTCCATCATCAAAGCCTACAATAATATTCAAATGCCTCTGAGAGAGTGCAAGAAAAGTTGGATTTTTGTAAAGGGAACAGGCACCGATATTTTTACCATCTGCAAGTCTCATTACAGTTAAGCTAGAGACTGCACCATTATCGTCATCATCTTCACTACGAAAACAGATGTACACGAGGTAACGGCCATCACGAGACAGCCTTTGCCGCCAGATAATGCCAGGGGCATGCACTACACGAAGTTTGCCACTTTGTAAATCGAGCACGTTGATGTTCTCATCACCACGGGATATAATTCCTACCTTCCCATTGGGGGATATTTCAAAGTCTTCTAAATTTTTTAGGAAATTGTTAGGCAGTTGTACACGTCTGCAGATTACTTCCTCTGTCAGATTCCAGATGTTCACGGTTTCAGTAGATGTTATAAATACAACAACATCTGGACAGTCTGGAATCAGTTTAATATCAACAACAGTTGTCCCATCATCACAACAAAACTTCTTGGTTATGCTTCCTGTCCAGAGACTTACTGCCAACACTTTATTCTTTGTCATTCCAACTACAAATGTATTTGCACTAGTTATAAATGCATTCTGTAAGGCAACTAGAATATTACAAACTCTGTGTCCTGTAGCCAGCCGCCAAACTCTGGATGCATTTTGTTCACAGAGTGAGACAACAAACTGGTCATTATGAGTAATCATCAATTGGGATATCCTCTGCCCATTAATGCGGAAGATATTTTCACCACTAACAGCGTGCCATACATACTGGCTACATTTGTCATCTGATGTAACCATTATTTCTCCAGAAGAGGTCAGCACACAGTTTTCAACAATACCTTCATGCTTGAACACAGCTTCAATGAATCCAGTGCTAAAGTTCCACTTATGAACAGCTTCTGATCCATCCAATGTATAAATTACCTCACCTCTGGCAGGCAATATTAGTCTCTGAATGGGTTTGCCAGATTTGTCAATGTTGGACATAGCGGTTATGATATCTATATCCCAAATGGAAAGAACACCACTAGTGGATAAGGATAGCAGCATATTATGGTGATTTGATTTAATTAGTTTGACTATGGTTCCTGAGATTTCCTGTAAGCTTGCCATGCACTGTCCTGTGTCTCTCCTCCAAACAAAAATGGCTGAGGTATTTTCCATGGAAGCAATTATACAATTGCCATTTTTGGATAACACTGCAGAGATAAAGCGCTCATTGTGTTTTGCTCTGAACTTTTCAGCCACCTTCCAAACACTAGTGTTGAGAAGTTCAATACTGAGTGCTTTACATACTAAAATTGCACTTTGGTCCTCAGAAAGTTCAATGCTGACAACTTCACTGTCTTCTCTTCTACAGTCAAAATCATCTGTCAGCTGGGGATTTGTGATTTCCTCAGTATTCCAAACTGAAAGGCCACCCTCATTGTCCACCATCACCATTTCTTGAGCTGTGTCCAGAACAAGAAGAAATTTCACAAATCCACTGGAAAATTCAGAGGTTACAGTAGACAGCTTCTCTCCACTGCCCAAATGAAATATTGTTGTGGTATTCAGATATTGCCCACAGAAAGCATAGACTCCATCTGGAGAACACTGCACACAAGTGACTTCATACCAGCAGTGGAAGTGATAAAGAGGCCATCCATAAAGTAGGTCTATTACAGTAACATCTTTGCTGGCCTCCAGCCAAGCAAGTGCATGAGTAATGGACAATGTAAATCCATTTATAAAATTTGAACCACCCCCCACTCCACAATGTTTTGATCCCTTAATTTCTACTTCAGACAAAAGACAGGAATTTAGATTATCATAAATCAAAAGTGTGTTCTTTGTTGTAGCCACTACAAGGTACTTTTCATCACTAGTAAGTTTCATTCCTAAAATTACAGATGGAGCAGTTGTAATTTGCCTTAATAGTTGGCGAGTCTCTACATCCCATGTGCTGATGGAGCCATTTTCTAGAGCAGCAATAACTGTACTTGGATTAAAGGTTGGCAAGATCTCAGTGACATGCATGCAACTGGATGACAAGGGCAATCGTTCAGGGCTGTAAGTCACATCCATAGAAGAATGTAGAGGAACAATAGAGCAGTATTTAGGCCCGTCTTTGTCACATTCTAAAAGGAGGTGTCTCAGTTTAGGCAATGAGCTTACAACTGGAAGAAGCCTTTGTTGCAATTCAGCAGAGAGTGAACCTGGATATTTTGTCACTTTGAACTTTATACTGCGCAAAGTGCTTGCTAGAAATTTCAGCTCCTTTTCTTGTGAGTAGTTATAAGCCAATTCTACATCAGAAAGTGCTTTATCAAACTGCCCTATTTTAATCATTGTGTACAGCCAGCTGAAGTTCATTATGACACCATATAGCAGATCATCTGTTCTTCCGCATCTTGTCAAGTGATGTATGAGTTCTGTCATTTTTCTGTGATTGACAAAAAAGATGTCAGGCTCCAGTGTATTACACTGGAAAACCCATGGCTGTTCTGGTGACTGCCTGTCAAAAGCAGTCTGATCTATACAGTGCTTGTCTTCATCATTCATGTTTCTATCATTGTTAAGGCAACCATTTAAATATTGATCGTTGTTGTAAAAGGATTTTCTTCGGCCACCAGACCAAACTCCAAGGAAATACTCTGCCATGTTGGTATGCATTTCATGTAAATCTTCTTCATTGTAGAGATACAGTTTTTGGGCAATAAGATAGAGGTGCCTATTTGCCCACACTAGCAGTGTTACATTTTTTACTTGCCTTTCTATCAAGTAGCCATGCAAGCCTTCCTTAAGTCTTGCAATGTATATGTATGGTACCCTCAATGGGTTACTTTGCCTGATAATCTCATTTAGTTCATCCATAACACTATTATCAAGAGCTAAAATATCTTCCAGTTCCATTTCGCTTAGGCCAGATTTGGACATTGTGATGTAGCCAAGTGCTCTTGACAACAGTTTTGGTCCACACTTGCTTTCCAATGAGCAAAATAACTGCTCTATGCTTTCATGAACAGTAACACGAAGGGAAGACTCATCAACATCTTTGTGAGATCTCCAGTTTCTGACCTCTCTGAAAGTTAAGTTCACAAACATGGGCAATGTGCACTTTGAAAATGCTTCATTGACATAAATTTGTTGCCCTGATGTTACTTTTCTTTTAATTCGTAACAGCTGATGTTTCAGCACTTGGCTACACATCTTTCTATCTCTCGCAGTCAACTCAATATAGTTGTCATCTTCATGAATAAGGCACCTCAGTTTTTGCAGGATCCCATGTTTGTTTGGCAGTGTTGATAAGATTATCCGTACTGAACGGGGAAGGTGAATGGGGAGCCACCACAGCTTCCTAGCATCATCGTTATCTGAAAGCTGTTCTAGGGCATCAAATATTATAACCAGGGGTCTGTGAAATGAAGATTCATTCAAGAGATTTATAAACAAATCTCGAAGATCATGTATCTTTTTGGGGTAACTTTGTACTAAGCAACGATAGTTAATTGCTAACTGTTCACAAATACTTTGAAGCAGATTCTTAAGATCTGTACTCATTTCTGTGGATCCCAAAAATCTTGTAATTACCACAGGGTCAGATTCTGGTCCCATCTCTTCCTGCAGCCACATATAAGCCTATAATGTAGAAGCACAGTTTTAATTAATGTCTAAAGTAACATAGCCAAATGAAGGACAACAGCAGAACATAGTATTTTGATTACAATTTAAGAAATAGTAGTACTTTTTTCAAAAGCATAAATTCATTTTTTCAATTTCTGAGTGGAAATGTTCTTAATAGTGGGGTTCTAAGAGAGGTTAATATTTGTATGGACCAAATGAAATACTAGATATTATGTCATCTTTAACCCAAGGCATACTACCAAAGCACTGAAGTCAAGTTCTGCAGAAGGACGTAGGCTCCTATAATGGGATGCACATAGAATTAAGCACCTAAGCCTACAAATCTAGGCACCTGAAAGTTTGTTGTCAGCAAAGTTTTCACCATTAAAGTTCCAGAGAAGGCTAGGGTTCTGCCACTTCATTTTCAGATAACTACCCCCCGTTGGCAGATAATGATCCGCACAGCTGAGTCTCCTATTTAAGCCCTTTTGGTATCCAAATATTAGGCAACCTGCACCTAAAGTTACCTTAGAGGCCTGATCTGCTAGGGTTTATTAAATCATAATCAGGCACTGAGCTATGGAGTCATAGTCCCTCTTGTGAGTGCTCTTTCTCTAGTCCCATGCTTCTTGAACTTCTCATTGTACAGTGGCAAAGGTTCAACAGGAGGGTAGAAAGCATGCCTCACCCCAGCACTGTCTACAGCCTAAGTGGTTAGGGCACTCTCCTGCAAGGTAGATGATGTCAATGTGTATGCCCTCAGGTTGAGGAGGATATTGAACTTCCTTATTACATAAGATGTGGGTTCCACCCTCATATTTTTGAATGAAAGCACCTATGGCTGCTGCATTTTACACTCTAACTTCAAAGCCATTATTTAAAAGGTATGTACTTACCCTCCTTCCTCCTTTGGCTGTCTATTTGAATGAAAGTGGCCATGACATGTGTTCTGTACTGAACACAAAGTCTATTTATGGATATGGGCCAGGTTTCCAATAATAAAACTATGATTTCAAATGAAGGGATGAATTCACAGGAATATGAATAGTGGTTCTTTTACTTTCATATGATGACCTGGTTAATTATTGGAAAGGTGTTCTGTGAACTAATGATCCTTGCAATTTTGAAATAAGTACAATTTCTGGAGAAATTCTTCAAAAGATGTGAAACAAACTAGCATAACTTCAAAAATGTGTTTTATTTGCAAAGAGGATGAAATACCAGATAATGATTAAATAGTGCCACACTGTAAGGGCCTCAGGAAATGAAAAGGGAGAGAGGTGATGCCACAGTGTATTTTAATAAAATTATATATTTCATAAATTCATTCTTATCAGTGGTCTAGGAACAGGATAAAGTATTTGAAGTTATTTTAAAAAGCTCTAGTGTAACTACTTTTTTAAAGAAATATGATACGGAGTTGGGGGCAACATTGCCTATTTTCCAAATAAAATTTCAGCGATGTGCAGAAGACTAGATTTTTCCCATATCAGGGGCTAATAGTAGATCTGTTGATGCCACAATAAGGAAAAATGGGAATTACCTAGCACTACATACAATTCTGCTACTAAGATTTGCATAATATAAAATACGTTGGTTTTTTGTTTACCTTCTTTGCTACTTCACCTAACAAAAGGGTTTTTCCAGTGCAAGGTCCTCCATATATGATAAGAGGGTTAATGTGTCCAACTTTGCTGGGCAGAATGTATTTATGAACTATGTTTAGAGCCTCGCACCTATACTCATAGAAAGAAGAGTATGTTTTACATAACGAAGAATGTTGAAGGACTTCATCATAAAGCAAGTCTGTCTCAGTGTCAAAATTCTGTTGTACTGTTGCCTGAATTATATCAATCATATCTTCATAAAACTGTTTACCAAGTCCTTCAATGTAGTGATTCTCCACATCTTGCGAATAACCAAGTTTCATGTCACAATGAGTAATGGAAGTATAGACTCTCAGATTAGATGATGCAACAATGGTTGGAATAAATTCATCCCTGAGCTTGATCAGTTTCTCAAGGGCTTCTGGATCCCGCATAAATTTTCCGGCTGTGTAAGTTACATCCATATATTTTCCCATCTCTGGAATTTTAACAAAACGTTCAATGTTGGCAATTTTCCGAATGTAACAAACACACTTCTTTAGGAAAGCTGGTGTCTGTTTTCCCAAGGCAAAATCAAATTCATCTTCAATGGCTGGGGGAGGAAAAAGAATATAGTCAATCTGTTAATGTTTTTTTCATAATGATCATAGAAGAAAAAACATGTCTGTTTCCTCTAGAATAGAGCTATCCAACTGGGGTTAATGTGTGTCCCAGTAACATGGGGCAAAGGCTCCTGTTACTATAAGGCAAAGGCGCAACAGGGCAAGGCCTGCTACCAGATACAGGCAGCAGAGCAAGAATGACCTCTTGGAGAATAAGCAGCAAGGGGGAGCTGAGCAGAAGCAATACTGGGCTGCTAGGCAATACCAGAGTGCTGGCTGCACAGCAATAGGACAGAGTCCTGAACAAGTAGCAGGGAAGACAGGGCACCCCAGCTAGGCATGCAGTGGCAAAAAAAAGCTGGCTGCTCTGGGAACTAAGGAGGTACACCTGTGGCTGATCAGGGAGACATCTGCCAGGAGGGGGTGAAGTCCACTGATATGAACTCTGGCACCCAGGCCAGAAAAGGCAGAAGGGTGTAAGCCTTGAGGAAGAAAAGAGCTCCTACCAGCAGGCCATGGGGGGAAGAAGCAGCTGCAGGAGAAAAAAGATACCTTAAAGCCTGGGAGGGAGCCAGTGGATTGGGACAAAACCTTTTAGCAACATAACGACCCAGACTGGGGGTTTGAACCTTTTTATTTGACAGCAGTTGCCGGTGTTTGGGTTTAAGTATAACCAAAGGACTAGGTTGTGTCTATAGGAGTGGTTTGAAGATCATGCAGCAGAGTGCCTAGAAAGCTTGTTTCGAGACCTGCATTGGGCAGGGACGTGACATGTTGACACCTTGAAGCTAAGGTCTGAGATAATGGACCAGAGTTGAGGTCCTTAGCTGGCGAAAAAAGGCTGAAACTGGGAAGGCTGTTGCCTGAACAAGGGATTAAGGCCTGAGGGGCAGAATTTATGGGCTGGGCTGGGCTGGGAGGTAAATGAAATTCTGACTGAGTGACTATGGGAGACGCTGGAGGCCAGGATTAAGGCCTACAGGCTGCTATACAGGCCACTGAAGTATGGAGCCTTTGACTGAGCTAGCCAGAGAGAGGAGAGGGGCTGACCTTAGAAGTGCGCTAGAGTTCAGTGGCATCAGATTCACATCTCCCACAAAAAGGATTTACAGACAACCTCGTGCATCATTCAGATTTCATCAAGAATCTGGGATAGTAGAGCAAGAGGTACATGTGTCTGAAGTGCAGGGTGGCGTGGGGGAGGAAAATGCATGGAATATGTCCTGCGCAGCATGCAGCTTGGGACAGGGGGGCAGTGAGGCATGTATGGTTTTTAGCTGGGAGCCCTTAGCACCTGGCCACTTCAGAAGTTGTACCGCCCTGCTCCTGAAGGTGAAAAAATACATAAAATGTATCTGTACTATTCAATTTAGTACTAGGGGTCAAGGTCATGTCAAAATTTGCCTTTTCTTCTTTTAAATTATGCCTGACAAATGTAAAGCAAAAATATGATTTGATACTTATGCAAGTTTATTCAAATTATTTATATATATATATATAAAAATAGTTTGTGTACATATTATAAAACTTACCAGAGGAAAGGTATCTCTTTGCTTGGCTGTGTTTCATTTTTCCTTTCTCATACAGCAACTTCACGGCAGTCTTAAAAATCCTCTTAATCTCTTCTGCTATGTCTTGCCATTTGCTCTTATTCATGGAATTTGCAGAAGATTCCATCTTTTAAAAACAATCATAGTTAAAGAGGATCTGAAACACCAGTTTCTCCATTGCACAAAGCATTAGACTATTATTTAGGATAATAATGCAAGAAGGGAGAATAAATTAAATAAAACAACAAACACTTTTTAAAAATAATAAATATGTATTTGCTCACCCTTATGTTATACATAATTGTAGGCTCCTGACAGATATTACACTAAAAGATGTGATTAACTGGCCACATGCTGAATCAATTAATGGTGTGATAAGACAAGGGGTAAGCTACAAAGTTATTACACAAAGTGCACAATAACTTTGTGACTGATTCTTACCATGACTTCAGCTGAATGTGTAACCAGAGCCCAGCCTCTGGAGCACATGTGGGCCTTAGACTTTTGTGTGCTTCAGAGTCTGCAAGGCCCTTCAGCTGATTGAGGCTCCCAGCCGGGGCAAAGCATGGTGCGTTCCTATCCCATCTTTAATTTTCTTTCTGGGGTCGTAATGTTAAAATTGGCTTTATTCTGACTACAGAATGTAAGTTTCCATGAACTGGCACAGTGGGTGATGCTAAATATAATTAGCACTATTCAAGGTTCAGCTTTTATTGTAAGAATAGCTCAGGTTAGAAAGTGGGAATTAAGAACTGGGTTTGGGGTATCATTTGGGGATGATAATTTACATTAATACTTGTCACAGGACCTATGAACTGAAAAACAGGTTCAAAGTGTCTCAAATTAAATGGCAAAAGAAGCTGCTGCATTTCAAAATGTTGGGATTTGTCTCGCTGTGCTTCAGGTCCTCCTTTTCAGAATAGTGATGGTAGTTTTATTTACCTCAGAAGGGTGTAAGGCTAACTCCATTAATGTTTGTAAGGTACATTTTAGATGCCAGAATTTAGGTTTCCTCCCCTGCCAGATGGTAACAGCTGCTACCAGTTTAAAGCAGGAAAGGAGGTGTAAACAACTTTTTATTTGTCTTTGCTTGCTGCCTGCATTGTAATGGTAACAGCACAGGAGAAAGGGCAAGCTCAGAGGGTCGGGATGCCTCAATTCCTTTCCTCCAGAAGTTTTTTAACATTCTGTCCGTTACATCCATGGTAGACTATATTACTGTTGACTTACGAACCTTTCCTGCTTCCTCTTTTGGGTCGGTAGCTTGGCAAAAAATATACAATCTTAATAAACAAAAATATAAAGAATCTCTAGATTTATTTAACAATACTTTGGGCTTCAGCAAAACTCAAGTTGTGCAGTTTGTTGTTTTTTCCCTTAAAATAAGTATTTAAAAATTTGCTACAATAAACTTTCTTTAGCTTCTTAAGTCCTTGCTGAAACATTTTTTTCATGCGACAGAAATTGCATTTGGTAACATGGTAAGTGCATGTGATGTTTTAGTTCCTGTTCCTCTTATACATACAGTACACACTGAAATGAAGTGACATTTTGATATTATTTGGGATATATCTATCTTAATATATTTTTTCTGTAGGCCAAATTCTGCCCTTGGATGCATCATGCTTATTGTTTACGAGCAGTTTTTATTATGGTCAAAGTAAGCTATGTGTACAGATGGATGGTGACAACAAATTAAACTGTTCAAAAATATGTTACCAAAAGACTTTTTAATGCAATATGAGCACTGATTCAGGACACCATATATGTGTATACTTGGCTATAAACATCTGACTAACTTTAAACATGTTTAAGTATTGTCTAATTTGAGGCCATAGGGAAAAATTAACAGTTTTCTAGTAAAAATCCTTTTAATGGGGTTTTGATGCAAACTAGTACAAATGCTGGGAGGAACTAAGACTTTCCTATTTCAGCAAGGAGGAAGCACACAGGCATTGATCCTGCTATACCACACACATTCATGAGCTGTAACAGTGATCAAAGCCCAATATAACTACCATATATGTGTAAAATTTGTAGCCTATGGGCAATTCTTATATCTAACAGCCATTGTATATCATTACTCCTTGGCCCTCTGACTCCTTCGAAATAATGGTAGAGAAGACCATCAGAGGACCAAATTGATATGTGGAAGCAGATATGGAGGTTTGTTTCACTGGGACCCACATATGCATAGTGAATGGCGCTAGTGGATTTAATTCACTATGACTGCTGTGTAGAAGGGATTTGTTAAAGGACATAGAAGTAACTTACAGTGTTATGGTAGTTCTTTAGCATTTCAGATTTTGGTCTGAGGTAATATGCTGGTGGTACTGCATTCTCATCTCTGCAGTACCACTCTTCCAGAAGCCTGGTCTCCAGCTTTGCCTCCACAGCAGCATCTATAATCATTTCAAATTCTGATGATTCAACTTCTCCAGGTATTCGGATGCTTCCATATTTTTCTCCCAATAGGCCCTGTGTATTTGTAGGAAAACAGGGGTTTAGTTTCCTTTCTAGTGATGATAAAACTCTATGGCATAACTGCTTGTCTTCATAAGAATTATTATGGCACAGTTAACAGTTTAATCACTTTCAAGTTACTAGAAAGTAAATATAGCTATTATTAGGAAAGTTATACTGAATGACATTTGATTGAAAGGACTTTTGAGAAAATTACATGTTTATTATCTTTTTAATATTAAAATTAATAGAAGTATAAGCATTCAAGTACACTGAACTTATTAAAACAAAAGCTCAAAATACAGGTTATTAGTGCAATTATTATATATTTACATAGTCTGATGGTTCAGATGATAAATCAGCGTGAAATCCTGTGTGCAAAAGGAGCTTCTCTGTCAAGTAGGTAGGAAGGAAGTACCATGTAGTATGGGCATTGCTGTTTATTAACTTGAGTGGCCTTTCAGTATGGCAGGCATTCAAAGCAGCAAAAAAGCCTAATTAATTATATAACTAGTTCTATGCAACTAGTCTAATACTAGTGTAGCAGGACATATCGCTTTTATGGCCAGAATCCCCCAGTGAGTGTGGTATAAAGCAGCTACACTACACTGTTATCTAGTAGTCCATAGTCTCTGATAGACAGCATGATACATTTTCCTAAAAGCATTCCAATTCTGCATGATGTCAGTATATTTTTAAGGTAACTTTCTATTGATTTCGGCTCGTGATTCTCAGATTAGTTCATAAGGTGCACAGATTTGGATTGTGGTGTCCTTACCTTCCTTCTGTGTCTCACTTTTATTTTTGTATAGTTGTAAATTTTTGCCCCTGCTGGATGAAACTTCACATGCCATTTTCAGCTTGATGATAACATTAAAAATATAACTATGGTTTACAGCAGCAATTATCCAGATTACCATTTTACAACCACATGCTGCTTCACTGTCTCAAGAACTCTCAGTAGCAGGAAATGTGGAACATACTTGCCTACATAGTCACCCAGTGAATGGAAGGGGAGATGAGAACTAATTGAAAAACCCAGATGCATACATTTGATGCAGTAAGATAAAGATTTTTAAAATGTCAGCTCTCAAACTGTGATACTTCAGGTTTTTTTAGTGAAACATGGGGGGAGGAGGGTTAGATTACATTACACAGAGATGATGTTGTATTTAACTTTTTTGGACAATATATTTTGGGCATTTGTCCCTCACCATAAAAACAGAATTGGGACATATGGAAAAGTTTGAAAACATTGTTCCCCAAATGAGCAAGTAAACAGATAACTCCTAAATAGTTAGGAACATAACTGGGAACAAAAGAGCTGCAAAAAAGTACTTCTTTGTATTTTCCATATAGAACTTTTCATATTTGATATTTGTTTTGGACTCTGACAATCCTGACCTACTGAAGCCAGTGGGAGTTTTCCCACAGACTTTAGTAAGTCCAGGACTTCACCCTGTTTTATTATTTTTGATTTATTTGTATTAGTTTTGTTAGTACAGAATCTGAAATTACTGAGAAAGAGTACACTAACAAGTGGCAAGAGACAGTGTAAATCTATTAGTTAAAGTTCTCATGGAAGTAATGTTTATGTAGGCAGTATTTTAGAAATGCATATTAGTAAACATACTTTGAATTACTGAGATTAATGGTTTTTAAATAAACTTGAAACCTAAATAAACTTTACATTAAAGTATTCATCATGGTGGGAAACTCTACCTGTTTAGTGGACACCTGTGTACTTGTTTGTCTGTTATTTTTTGTAGTTCTCCAGCTACTCGGGTTATGCATGGAAAAATATTCCCCATTTTTCTTTTTTCAGGAAAAATTATTAACTCATTCTCTACCAGGGTAAAATTCAGCTCTGTCCAGCAGGCTAGTACAAAGCTTATGTACCAAGTCCAACTTAGATGGTACAGAACCTTTTTAAAAATAAACTTCACACTCTTCCAAGCTCCACCATATGAATTTTGCACTTTTGTATGGTAATTATTATTTGAAATTACTGTGTTTATGTATTTGGGCTCTGTGAACTCAGTGGAGAGTTTGGTCAGACAAAAAAGATGGTAGAACTTGAACTTTTTATCACTGTCTGTATTAGCTGATTATAATGGAAAACTTAAGTTTAGTTTCAGAAGAGAACATACATTTTGTCCAGACACATGATCTGCTATGGAGCTATAAGTCAGGATGTGGCGGGGGGGGCAGGGAAAAGTATGAATGAATATAGGTTGCACTGCAAGGTGAAGGACTGCAGCATCAGATGATAAGGCAAGAGAGGAAATGAAAAACACATTGTATGAAAGAATGTAAGTGTAAATGTTCCATCATTTAGGCTAGGGACAGACATTACACATAAACTGGTTTAAACCTGTAACAGAATAGACATTCAGTGCACATAAACCAGTTTCAGAAGTGCCCAAACTAGTTTGAGATGCACCTGGTTGAATGTAGTATCAGACTTAACTGATTTGTCTCAAACCAGTTTATACGTCTGTCCCAGACCCCTTCCTGGTTTAACTTAAGCCAGACTCCCACAGCATCCTGGCATGGTCCCAGGGGTGAGCAGGGCTCTTTGCTCCAGCCACAGGGCTGACCCTGCCCCTCTGATTTCTAGCCGGAGCAGGGACTGGCCCTAGTGGAGACATCGCCTGGCATGGCCCCATTAAGGGAAAGTGGGCAGAAAGGGGTGGGGGGGGTCAATCCTTCCCTCCTTCCCCTCTTCCTCCACTGCAGCTGAGGTCAGCCTGTCTGCTGGGGAGCAGAGAGGACGGGACTGTGGCAGTGGCCACTGGGGCTGGCAGACCCCAGCTACAAGGAAGGGACAGAGGGAGGAATTAAGTCTTCTCCCTATCCCCTTCGCCTTACCATGCTGCATTGTCCTGCAGTGTGGGGAGAGAGGCTCTGTTTTGTGCTGGGGGGGGACTCTTCCCCCTCCACCTCCTCCCCTGGTGGGAAGAGGTGGTCTGTGTAGTGCTGGAGGAAGACTCTTCCTCTTCCGCCCCCCCACCCCCACGGCAGCTATCTGGGCCCCATGCAGTGCTGGCTGGAGCCACACCTGCACTGGGCACGAACACCCTGATCTCCCTGCCTGCTGCTGCTGCTAGGCAGTGGGGGCTGCATGCCATGGGGGGAGTGTGTTTTGGGACTCCTACAACCCCCCACCCTCACCCTGCCCAGCTGAGCTCTGCGCTCCTGCTGTCCCTCAAGGGGGAAGGGCAGGGAAAGAGTTCCTCCTAGCATGGAACAGAACCTCCCCCAGCCCTCGGGGAGGAGGAATGGGGGGAAGAGTCCTCCTCTAGGGCCAGGCAGCATCCTGTAGAGCCCCTCCCTCCCCACCCCATGGTGATAGAGGAGATGCAGGGGGAACAGTCCCCTTCTGAGGCCAGGAAGCCTCACAGAGCCCCCAGTGGTGGAGGGGGAGGGGGGAGAGGGAGGAGGAGGAAGAGTTCCCCTCTGGGTACAAGCAGCCCTGTGAGCCTAGATTGCTCCTGGCTGTCAGGGAACAGCGGGGGCAGGCAAAGCTCTTCTCCTCCGCCTCCTCCTCCTTCCTCCTCCTCCTCCTCTTCCCACCCCCCTCCCCAGAGCAGCCACTCCCTTTTCATCCACCCTAAGAACCCTGCATGCCAAGGCTGGGATTTAAACTCCTCAATCTTACTCAGTTTCCCTGTGGAAGGGAGGACTACCCTAGTGCCTGTGTTTCTGGCTTGAGCCACTGCAGGCAAATGCCTGCATTTCCTGAATGGAAAGGGAATGTCTACCCACTTGGAAACTGATTTACTCTCTGCAGGTTAGACCAACCTGCAAAGATTGAATCAATTTAGACTTGGGCTTTTTGAATGTCTGTCCCTAGCTTTAAGAAGGGGTACCCAATGTGCATGAAGTACCCCAAAAGATGGAGGAAATGATATAGATGCCCCATTTCCATTATCCCCTCCCCCCACCTGTCTTCTCAGTGGGGAGCACTCCGTCTGTGTGGAGCCCGGAACCATGGGCTCCGTCTGGGTGGAGACCTCTGAGGAGGCAGAGGGGGTTGCCACAGACTTGGAGGGGACCCTCAGCAATATCTGTGGCAACTGAATGGTAGTTGGTCCACACAGTAAACTTACTGCATCTGCCAGCAGTCTTGACAAGCACATTGAAGTACTCCAGGTACTTCCAAAGCCAAGGGCATTGTATTTATGCCTGGATGCTCTGTAATTAGCATTGCGGTTAGTGGGCTATTTAGTCGTTATTCAACCTGGCTAATTAGTCTACCTGATGTGTTACATGGACACTGCTTCTATTTTCTGTCCATCTTCAGCACTCGAAACCAGTCTGAGTTTACAATCCAGTTTCCAGACAGTTACTCCATGGTGACAAAGAGTTACTGAAAACACACTTTTTCTGTTTTCTGAGGAAGGGGGATAAAGAATTAATTTTGTTTTTCTTTAAGGGTAACGTGGAGAACAATGGGAAAATGTACTCCCCCTGCTTCTGCTTAGAGAATGGTGTCTGAATACACATGTCAACATTTGTTTATTAATCTTATCTGAGTCCACAGTGAACATGTCTGCATGTACACACCCTTACCCCACTATAACACTTAGCATAAACATCACTTTCTACCAGAGACCAATGAGTTCATGATATCTGGGAGCTTAAAATTTGCCCTCTGTGTGCAACTTTAGTGAGTCGTGTCTCTTTTCCTTAACCACATGTAAAAATACTCCCATTTTACCCTCTTAAAAATCCAATTTGTTATTTTTTCTTCCCTGGCAATATGTAACACATCATATTAAGTATAATAAACCAGATCTTTAGCAGTATTAATCAGGCATAGCTCTATACCACTAAGGATGTGGGTAAAGAAATATACTCTAATGGAATATTATGTGTGTAAAGTAGGAAGAACAATCAATACAGTTTAAGAAATATATTATTTCTCAATCTTTGTAATGTTTCATAATTGTTATGCCTCTTCAAACTATAGACTATAAAATAGTATAGTACACAAAGACTAATACTATTAC